GGCAATCTTTCTGGCAGAACTAATTAAAAATTGTTGATTTGGTAATGTAACAAGACGAGCCCATTTCTTGCTGTTAAGATCAACAATGTGTAATAGATGCATATTACGTGGATTACGTATTTCAAACCAGTATTTATAGTTAGACTTTTGCTGTTCACTACGAATAGTGACACCAATTCTCAATCCGTCACTATTAAAACGAATTTTATCGACAGAATGATTTTCTTGGCACGAAACAGGTGGTTTAAATATTCGAATTAAATTCCAATTAAACATACTATATACTTCAATAACCGATCCTTTGCCAGTACTACTCACCATAAGTGTCTCATCATCACATGTACAACTTGCCATGTATGTGGCGAATTCTTTAACGCGTACTAGCCGTTTTGTTGTTGTCCTACTTAAATTAATGTCTAACAGATAAAGTTTTGGCTTGCTCCCCGATAAAATCAAAAATCGATTTAAGTATGATGACCAACACAGAGCATGAATGCCAAATTCCCGTTTTATATTTAGTTTTTCGTGTCCTTGTTCATCTACTAAACATAAACTGTCTGAAGCACAATAGAGTAAATATTTGTCGTTAGCAGCGATAAAATCTTGTTCGGAATTAATATTGAGACATAAATTTGGCTTCTCTCGTAAACGGCCAGAAAATAAAGGTGTTTCTGTAGTAGTAATCACTGATACAGGACCCGTATTAATTTTTGACAAGCTGTCGCTCAAAGCTTCTACTGAAGCAGAAGAATCAGCTGTATTTATACAAGAAGTCATATGCTGAAGATATGCAGCTTCATCAATATTTGAGAGCGTTTCATTACATTGAGAACAAAGAAATATTTTTTCAGTTTCTACTGGAGTAGCAGTTGTAGCAGGAGCCTTTAATTCGTAGACTCTTGGAATTGCGTTTGTTGTCCATTCCTTTAGAGAATTGTCTGATAATGTCATAGAATCCGCAATAGTAGTGTTCGTCATTGGAGTGGTAGGACGAGAAACGGTTAGATAGAAAGGCGGATGTATCAACGGTACAGGCGGCTCAAGCTGTCGAACGTGAACTGTATGAAGATTATTACCTTGATCAAGTTTACTTACAACGACAAAGTAGCTACAAGGAAGTAGTAAAACTTGACTTTCTAACGGAAAATGTGAATGGTTGTGAATCATTTTTCCATCTATACATTCCACATTAAATAGTGTTCTATGCCCTTTTTTGCCAAGAAAGTTTTCTGATTGTAGTACCGAAAGCGTGGTCGTACATGATGATAAACCCCACCAAACAAATGTTTCACCTTCTTCAAATTGATCGCTAATATCTGCTTTAACACCGCGCCATGCAATACATTTTTCCGATGGTAACTTCCACAATGCGGTCAAAAATAATTTTAAATAGGGAAAGAATGGAACAAGACGTTCTCGATGTTTATCTCTTAATGCCCGGTTTAATTCACAATATAATGATTCCATAGAATATAAATAGATGGCAGCCGATTCATCCTGTGAAAGACCATCTTGTGGATTTTTAGAATTTCTTTTAGCTATCCAAAC